AATTCATTTCAGTATTACTGGAGGTAGTTGGTGTCGTTTAAAAGTCGCCTCTAAGATGGATTTTTGTAATTATTGCATAGCGTAATGAATAAAGCTCATGTTATCATGAACATTAGAATATGCTGCCATAATATAATGTAAAGGTAAGGGTATTAGCTTAGATGTAGATGTTTACCATCTGTTCAGCGACATCCCCACACACACCACACTCACATTCCTTCTCCTCCACCCACTCACGCTACGTACACCTTTCCAACACCCACTTCCTAGTTATTCATTTGAAGACAGCACGATCATTCATTCATCGAACAATGCTTGGTAGAGCAGAAGCACGCGTCGTTGAGAGCCCATTCTCTCGCAAACAAGTACATCTTTTCTTGTCTCGCGACTTGTACGTTGACTGGACATTATTAAAATCAGTTGCTATGATAGCTTTATCAGGTTGCTTACATCATGAGACGAGTTGTTAGTTAGTGTATGGTTTTACTGTGACAACTTTCTCATTGGAAAGAATCAATGCATCAAAGATTCAGTCATGTACTACTTTGTTTCAATAAGAAATTATTCTGAACTATGTAACAGAATGATCGATGAATGAAATTAAGTAAACGGTGGTTGAATCTCTCGCAAATGAATGATAACTAGGCCATTGCCAAAGTCAGCACGACCGACTACTTTCATTCGCGTAGCCGGTAAAAAAAGAATTTCATCCTCTCCTTTGTAAGACGAATGAGCACGAATAGACTTTCCGGTTTCACATTCGATACTAAACAATGTTCTTACTCCTGTCTTGCCCAAAAACTTGTCATATTCAAGAAGTTGGTGTGATTCAGTACATGAACTATTAAAAAAGAGAACATGAAATAAATAAAAAAAAAGACACAGAACTGACCTGAATCCCCACCAGACGAATTCTTTGCCAATCAGATATTGAGCACTCAAGTCAGCTTTAACATCACACCATACAGTCCTTTTGACTGATGGCAGTTTCCGCAGAGCGGTAAGAACAAGTTTTAAATAGTACGAATGCGGAATGATTTGATCTCGATTTTCTTCTCGTAAAGCAGCATTGATATGAATAGACAATGATTGATCATTTGGTTTCCATTTCATCGTGTACAGATGAATAGCAGCTGATTCATCTTGAGTAAGTCTATCAGCCACAGTAGTGGATCTCTCTTTCGCAATCGATGCATTTCGTCAAATATTGGGAATGATTTCTTGCAAGTGTTCGACTACATCGTCTAATGATAAGAGAGGCTTATCTTCATAATCTTTGATTCTAGAGATAAACTGGAAGAAATAGTAATTTTGATAGACGATCAATTGAAACTTACGGTAATAGCATACGCTGATGTTCATTACGAATATCCAGTAAACGTGAATCCAGATTAGATAGTTCATCACCACGATTTGATTCCAGTGTAACACAAGGAAAACTTCTGTCTTCTAAAATAGAAATTCATAAAATTGTTTTCCATATGCTATATATATTTTACCTTTAGGCATATATCTTCCGCGTAGGACATGAACTCCTGCATAGCAACCAGACATAACTGATGCTCTATAAATGTGAGAGAAAGACGGGGTTTAACACTTGGTAGATTAAGCTGAAACAGGAAAACAACTTATCCATCAAAACAAAAACAAATGCACGATTCTAAAGGAATTTTCCAGTTATTTAAAAATTCAATAATTTTATTTGCTAATGTTGCAGCATCAAACTCTCGTAATGGAATAAAGCCAAGAAAATATTTTTTCGCGACGTTTGAACTATTAATTGTACGATTATTTAGATCACGAACAAATCGAATGACTATAGATAGTTGCTGTGTACCACTTATGTCCCGACACTCATCAGCCTTCAATGCGTAATGGCTGTTGTTTAACTAAGAACATTTAGAGAGTAACTTAATTATAACAGATAATTAAACAAACTTGTCTTACCATCGACGAAATCTCTTCACGAATTTCATTACTCATAATATGAAGTAATTCGTTCTGAATATCATGACTCAAATAATTAGTATTGCACATAGAAACTTCAAAAAGTGATTTTACTATAGAATCAGTTGTTGCTGCCCAACGAAGAATCTCTATGAAATTACCCTGATTCGAACTACTGCAAACAAGAAGAAAACAAACAAAAAGGACTTTATTAGAAAAAAATTTCATCATCTTGAAAACTTGTTTTCCTTCTCTAAATTTGGGCAACTCATTACTTCTAGTAATTTTTGGTGCATTTTTTTTACGAAGAGTTCTCTAACCCTTCTAAGAGTGAGTTGGATTGGCATGCCGTTCATTCTCCTCATGTCCTCGAAAACTAATCATTTGACGTGCTAATAAATGTAATGTTGAACATATCTTCGTAAGACGATCACGATTTTTATGAATTTGAATAGCACGATCGGAATTCAATTTGTTAATAACATTTGAATTAGTTTCTGCTCGTTGTTTATATGATAAATCATTTTTTGTTGCAATTATATGTGATTGAGATCATGCATGTTTTGTTAAACCACCATCTTTCTCCAACGCCTTTTTCCAGCTGTTAAATCCTGAAGTGGTAAAAACATCACCGGCATTTTATTTATTACAAGAAAAATGACGACAATAATAACAATAACATGCATCATTTTGTACAGAATATTCCAGCCATACTCTATCATTATACCATCTTGGCTGGAATGAACGATTTTGGTAATTTATTGGATAAGTTATTAATTTTGGTTGAACAGGAGAATCACAACATGATGCACTGATATCATTTGGAACACGTTTTGTTCCAGAATTTTCATGTAAAGAACTAGAAACTGTGAGAAAAGATGGTGAAGTGTCGGAAACAAGATCACATGCAGTTTGATCATCAGAGAACGAAGAAAGCGAATGAGAGTTTTGAAATTCAGATGATGATGAAGAAGATGAAATAATAATGTTCGATTCTATTTGTTGTTGATCATTACGTGGTTTCTTGTTAGAAGAAAGAAAAAAGTACTCTATAGTCCCACGTTTGTCAGGATGCGTTTTTAGAGATTATGATTTAATCTCAAGAAGAGAGAGTGATTTTTAGTGTGGTTGTAGTGAACAGCCAATAGAAAACTGGACAAAAACCTCTGCAGCTTAGAAAACGGTTTTTTACGATATGACTATGAAAGATTATCAATGCTCTGTAAAATTTTAAAAAAATACGGGGGGAGGGGGACTTAAACAATTTTTGAGGGGCTATGCCCCCCTTGGCGCCGCCACTACTTGATACATACAATTGTATACCTTCGTACCAATCATCATTTGATTTGAATCATTCATTATCAAATGCATTTTTTGTAACCTAACATTTTGATTCCCTTTTTTTTAGGGTTCTTTTATTTCCATTTATTTTTTTTTATTATGCTAAAAAGACTGTGATCTTACAATCCTATCAGTACATATGAGATGACAAAGGAAGAAACACGAAAGAAAACAAACACAACAAGAGCAACAAATAAAAACAAAAAAAAAACAGAAAATCATAACAATAGGTTGAATAACAAAATAGTGAGGTAAAGAAAAGAAACATTAACACATAGAAACAAAGGATTCAGGAAAATCCTCAAGGAGTTGGATTTCATCTATCTCATAAACCGGTACAGAAGAAAGAGGGGGGGGATAGAAGCCATTTAACCAACAATTTTTTCAATTATTGAATGGTGAGGAATAAACCTTTTTTATGTTCTTAGACACTTAATGGAAAATTATTTTTCAATCCAAATGTGTCTGAATACGTTCAAATTAGCTTTTTCAAACAATAACTCACCATCAATGGAGTCTGCTAGAGCTGCAAGGTATTTCACCCAACAAGAATAGCATCTATCTTCGAGAGACTTCTCATCAAGAGCAAATGCGAAAAAATTTTCATTCCAATGTAGACAATACAATACGCGCCTTAGCGAAGTATAATAAAAATGGCATAAATCTTGTCGCTGTTTTACGGAAAGAAGGGGATAAATCGGATAGATCCAGGTTAAAATAGGTAATACAAAGGATAGAAAGAGAGTCTTACTAAGATATGGAGAAGAACACCCAAAAATCTTAAAGGATTTAATCAAAGAAATTCTTTGCCTAATTTTAGTCATCATACATTTTAAAAATTTACCCCACCCCAACTTTGATGAAATTAGATAGCCAAGATACTTATATTCAGGGACCTATTTAATTATTTCGTTAGTTCCCAGACAAAAATGAATGACGAAATTAGGATTTCCAATTGCTCGCACAGTAAACATAGCTTCAGTTTTATTGAAATTAATAGGCTGATCAGTTAAGCCAGAATAATATTCAAGTTGACCAAGAAAAACTTTAGCTCTTTTTTCTAAATCAAGACATTGAGACGAATACTTTATTCCTAATTGATCAGCCATAATTCCAGCTAAATCGTCAGCAAAGAAGTGACTTATGCAACCAGATAGAGAACAACCCATATCACAATTATATGTGATGAATAACGTTGGAGTAAGAACACTTCCTTGAGGACCATCTTTTTCAATAGAGAACCAACGAGATTTACTGCCATTGGTTTCTATGAAGCAACGTCTATTATTTAACCATCCTTTAATCCAATTTAGAAAAGATGGAGGGATACCCAAATTACGTAATTTTCCTATGCAACCTAGAAACCACAATTGATCAAAAGCAGCACGAAAGTCTACAAAAATAGTACAAACTGGAGCACTATTTGACAAAAGACTATATACATCTTCCAGAAAGAGAAGTAAACGCGTTTGTAAGCGAAAACGTTCTCTAAAACTTGATTGATTATCAGGTAAGAGATCTCTTCTAAATAAAAGATCACGAAATCGAGTAAGAAAGAGTTTCTCACCTATCTTTTGAAATGAATCAGGAAGTGAGATGGGACGAGTTAAAGACGGTGGACAAATGGAATCTTTTTTAGCTAATAATATCATTCGGGTATCTTTCCATGCGGAAGGTAAAACTGACTTTTGAAAAGAATGATTATATAGTTTTAACAATAAAGACCAGTAATTAAGATCAAGAAAATTAAACATATAATTTGAAATACCATGAGCATCTAGAGATTTTTTTTTCTTTTTAGCTAGAACAGTATTTATAAGTTCATCAAGTGTTACTTCAAGAATAAATTCATTATTATTATCATATTCAATTGGAGGTGAATCAGTATATGGGTGAGGTCTAACAATATATGATGCTTTAAAAAAATCTTCGTAATAATCAGCTGCTACATTACACATATGATCACTTTCTTTGACAATTTGTCCTGATGAATCAATAAGAGCATGTAGAGAAGAGGATGACGGTTTGAGAAAACGTTTACTTCTATACTAAAACGAGTTAGATGATAAAGAAGGAGCATTACGAAGACGAAGAAGATTATCAAGTTGAGAAGAAAAAAAAAGATTAAGTTCTTTTTTAGCAATTTTTTTAAGGAAACATACCTTCTTTTTTAGTATGCTACATTTCGTCCTTAATTGTCTAAAGGATTACAATGATAATTGTGGTGGAATAGAAGGAGAAGATGGAAATGTATAGTTTACATCATCAAACGTATCAGGCCAATGGTTCTAGTCTAATAGAAAAGAAAAGGAAGAAGCATCTTTTAAGAAAAGAAGAAAATCATATTCACTGTTGGAACTTCTATTAGATAAACGACAATTTAAGATATTGATTTCCATTTGATATTTTTTGTTACAAAAAGAAGTAAAACCTTCTTTAATTTGGTTCGATGTAACTTTACCAGTATTGAACCTGATGTTAAAGGGGGGAAAGGGGTAACGTGTTTGTGCATAACGAGTAGATTCAGTAGTGAATGAAATCTGTTGTGGATGAGATAAAGATAAAGCACCTTGAACCTGTGGACCACCTGAGACTTGTTGAATATCTTGCAATTGTCGAACATTTTTGAACTTGTTGAACACCTGGGACCTTATGTAGTAAAGGTTCAGCAGCAACAGAGGCAGATATAGAATACAAAGGTGAGGGTGCAGCAGATTTTGAAATAATGTTTGTTTGATAATGTGTACGTTTTTTCTTAATTGTAGATGTCGTAAGTTTGTGTTTAATTTTCTTTTTCTTTTTCTTTTCTACTTGTTGAAAGCCATCAAATGAAACATTGGATGAAAGTCCATCATGTGAAGGAATAGTTGGTGAATCAATAATCATATTTGTAGAGACAGGAGCTGAAACCACGGAGGTTTCATTTAAACAATTTTATAAAGTATTATTTGAAGAAGAAGTCATTTAAAATGACTCTAGTTCAACAATATTGATAAATAATTGTAAATAAAGATATTTTTCCTTTTACACACTCAACAAGTGCTTGAAAGAAAAACAAAGGAAAAAAAATATAGAAAGAAAAGAAAGAATGTGATGCGACTTATCGGTAGTTCGAATATGTGAGGAATGATTTCCATTTATTTCATGATCTGCTTCCACCACTTTTTCATCTGATATATCGCTTTCATATTGAGAAACTTTTACCACTTTCATAGTTACAAATATATCAGATTTTGTAAATACGAAATATGTTATTTTTATTTGAATAACATTAAATATTTATACATAGGAATAGAAAAAGACATCGATCAGGAAAGAAGTCAAGAAGCGTCTTTCCCGTTGTTTTAGATAATGAACAGTAACAAGAAATAAAATAATGAGTCTTCTTATTCAAAAAAATATGTACGTTAAAAGAAATAGGTTAAAAGAACGATAACATATATAGAACAGCTGAAGAGAAACGAAAAGAAAAACAAAAGTGACTTACTTTATAACCATTTCAATTTTTATACTGATCTTTTAATATAATCGATTGTAAATAAATTGTATTTACTGATTTTTAAATTGATTTACAAACCAAATTAATTAATAACTGATCATTTAAGTAATTTACTAATCAATCATAAAATTCACTGATTTTATAATTATTTCATTTACTGACCATTTCATTTATTTTACTGACCGCAAATCATATTCCCATTATGAATATGTTATCTGATTATTTTTCAGTTATTAATTTAGAAAACCATTTGGACTCGAAGAAAATTTCAAAAATTCAAACTATTTCCGATTTATTCAATGTACAATCGGTTGGACAAATTATATTTCATGAATATTGCACATTGTTGCATTTATATTTAAGATTTCCTCTTACAGCAACTACAGCTGAAAGATATTTCAGCGTTTTCAATAGAATAAAGACATCCCTAAGATTAGCAATGACACAACAACGTTTGAATCATGTCGTTATTCCTTATATTCACAAAGATAAATTAGGTCAAATGGGCTTGAACAGCATCTAATTTGATTTTATTTCAAAAGATCAGAATTAAAAAGCACGTTTTGTTCATGAATAGTAGTTTTTTTTACTTATGATTCTTTTTATTTGTTTTAGCCAATGTTTAAGCGTTTTATGATTCTGTTGATCACTTTTTAAAATTTTTCATACTAGAATAGATTTTTTCATCAGTTTATAGACATGGAAATTGGTGGATGCTGAAATATCTCTTTAATGAAAGTTGTGATCACGAAAAAGATTTCTTTCCGCCTTTAATGTTGTCCTTTCATCATTGTCTGAAAAGAAATTTTGAGTCTCCCCTAAATTAGAATTATTCAGCCGTCTATGCTAAGATTCTTGTATTGATCGACAAACTATCGCTAGTGAAGCCATAATATTTTGTGTATTGTGTGCGAGGATAAAATAAACAGCCAAAGCTAACAATTGCATTGTGGATATATTTACGAATATTTTTCTTTTATTTTATTTTGCTATTTACTGATCCCCATCTTGTTGTTTTTTTATAGTAGATGTATTTGGAGAAGAAAAATACTACCTAGACAAAAAAGAAAAGAGAAAGAGAGAGAGAGAGTGTGTGATACATATTTACGAATATTCGATTTAGTTTTTATCCTACTGTAATAAATTGCTTAGACGATACATAAGAGAATAACCAACATCATGACAATATTCTTATGAAAACAAAAAAAGCAAAATATCAAAGGACACCCTTTTCATATTATTTCACCTATATGGATGAATGCACAAAAACAAACCATATTTTGTGATATATATATAACCAACAGAATCCTTTTATTTTATGCATAAAACAACTGTGGTAGATTAAACTATTATTCTGGTTGTGTATACAGAAGATTTTCCACGAATACAACAAATAAATGTATGTATTTCGAGAGTGTTCTCTCTTCAGAAGATTTTTTAAGACATCAGTATCGAGTGAGTTTTTATATCATCAAGTATTACCACTAACTCTATGTAGTATTATTTCTATATCATAGGTCATTATTTTCTTAGTAATGAAAATGATCTGAGATTCGATAAGAAATGAATAGTAGAGACTATCTGCTGTAAAACTACTATTCTCATAAAGCGTCTATAGCAAGGTATGTCAATCTAGTTTTTGAGTTCGAACATAGAAATATAATCATTCAGTATTGTATTCTTCTCAAGTACTTTATAACTTGCTCAGATTTCACTAAATACTTGGACAAATACCAACATCACGTAATGTTCAAAGTAGCTGTACTTTCTCTGCAAGCTAGTTAGCTGTAATACTTCCCAAGTACTTGAAGAATACCATATTTTGAACATTCAAGCAAGAATTTGTTTCTTACCTGAGCGCTTGCCCAAAATAAAACGTATTGTGGACATTATCTGTGAAAACACTTGCTTATATACTCTACAAAAACCCATCATCTAGTGTTTCAACAATCAATTAAATCTGTTTGTATTCAAAATGATGTTTTAGATTCTACTTGTTTCATTTAGATAAAAGAAAAAAAAATGATGCGACTAGTAATTATGATCTTGCTTCTGCCAATCGTAAGGAAAGATTCAGAAAGAACAGCTGGCATATGGACCAAAGAGAGTAGCGGCTCACCCTAATGTCTGATGTCTCGAGTTGAGTTGCCCATCGAAGTGCAGTGAGTCGGTGGAGGGGTTAGTCGACTCGACTAGCGCTGCTCGAATTGAAAAATGCCTCATATTTCATGGACGTCTTATATGAAGGCTCTTGAAGCAGCGATTTCGTCGACAACAGTAGATGTAGCGCCTGTATCGGTAGAACGTATCAAATGCGAATAAACTATGGCAATGCCATCGGCTTCGAATTATTAACAATTCATCCGGACGGCACAGTTAATATAGTTGACAGTACAGAAAGTGGTTATACTCCACCAGGCGGAGTCCCAGCTCAACCGTTTAGTTCTCAGCTTGGAGAATGGAAATGTGTTGGAAAAAATAAATTTCACATTCGCACTGGTAATTATGATTTTCAAGTGTCTGGTAATCCTGCTTCAAGTAAACTCTCTTTTAATGATATTTTATTGACTTTCACGAAAGATAGTGAAAATCTGGAAGGAACATACAGATTTGCACACTATAAGCTAGGTACTTATCCAAAGGATCCCGGTGCTCAACCATTACCTAACGAATCATACGGACCATACAATATCAGCGGTCGACGATTCTGTTTCTTTTAATCCTAGTTTGACGAAACGAGATCGTTAACAGCTGGACAAGAAACTTTAAAACATTGCCATTTCTATTCTTTCTTTTTCTGCTCAATTTTTGCTCTTTTTCTGCTCAATTTCTGCTCTTTTTCTGCTCAATTTCTGCTCTTTTTGTACTCAATTTATGCTCATTTTCTGCTCATTTAATCTTCAGAAATAAATAAATAAATCTATTTAACTGTTCTCACCAGAGACCGGCGGAATATAGGACGAATTACGCCCCACTATATCGCGGGACGGGACAGGAAAATTCGCAAAAAGGGTTGTAAAAATATTGATAGGATGAGGAACGCGATGAGTCATATTGCTAGTCTGGAGATGTGAAGCTACCGATAGTTTCAGAGAGTGCCCATGAGAAGATCAAGGGACCTAAGCAGTGGTCAAAATTTAAATTTCTGATTATTTTTGTGCACATTAGATAGATCTTCATCTGAAACAATAAAATCGAAATTTTATAGATATTTTAATTCTCTTTCTTTGATTATTTAATTGAATATTTTAATAAATTTTAATTTTTAATTTTTTTATTATTATATAATCATGTGAGGTTTCGTTGCTGTATAGAAAAGTTAGCCTATATCGACTTTTCAGCATTATCTACTCCATATGAAGAAAATAGTTGAAAATTGCCTCATGAATGTATACTATGATGATACTTCAATAAGTCGGAGAATTGTTTTTATGCAATACATCAAAAGATAGATTATCAACAACTGAAAACAATGCGATATTTAAAATATTGTATATCATCTGTTTAAGTTACATAGTCCAAAAAGTGTGGAAACTGAGACAAATTGTGAGTTTTTAATGGTTGATTTTTGGCAGTATATCGGCTGCCATTTATTTAAGTCAAGAGATTCCACGCTGAATGTTTGATATATTATGCTACTTTTGATTCTGTACAGAATCGTAAAAAGATATTGAAAAAAAATGTTTTTCATTGACCTGAAGAATAACTAATATTTCCCGTAACTCAGTGAATTCGCTGGAGGAAAACTAAATGTCTTTTATTGATGAAAATTTTCATCTAGAAGAAATTAGGACTTCATCTTGGATAGAATGTCATGGATACTTCGCTCGAGAAAAAGAAAAAAAAGATTTTGATCTTGTATACCCATGAGGGAAAATAGGGAAATTCCGAAAAAAATTGTTTTCGTGTAACCGAATAATAATCATTACGAATGGTAGGACTTGAGATCCTGATTACGACCATATGGTCGAAGTCTATTATGAATTGAATTTAGTGGTACAAGGTTGACCTCTCGAGATCATATACTTGCCATATAGCACTAAATAGTTTTTGAATATTTATTTCTCTTCCTCTTTTTTTTTTATTATATATTGTTAGAAATCAATATATGAATCAGTTTAATCTAATTAATTTTAATCTATATTTATTGATTTTAATGTATGAAAATATTTTGAAGAGCTACTATCTTCTACTTCAGTTCATTTATTTATTGCATTAAAATAAAAATTTTGTCTTTTACTATTTACAAATCTGCCTATATATGTTTTTCTTTTTCTTTTTTTCTATTTTTTAATAATGGAACGGAAGATGAAAACATGTAGGCTTAATCGTTCAGTATTACTGTCTTGTTTTTCTGTTCTACTATTAAAAAATAGAAAAAAGAAAA